ATACAACTCTTATCACAATCCATACATCTATCAATTGTGTAAAGCACATTTGTACATTCGTTGCCCTCATCATTCTCAAAACATCTGCTCTCCACTTAAGTCCTTGGCATCAGCTCCTCATTCTCCCCCATCCCTCGCTGCTCCCACCTCCCTCATGAAACCTTGATAACTTATAAATTATTATTTTGTCATATCTTACACTGTCCGACGTCTCCCTTCACCCACTTTTCTGTTGTCCGTCCCCCAGGGCGGAGGTTATATGTAGATCTCTGTAATCAATTCCCCTTTACACCCCACTGTCCCTCCACCCTCCCGGTATCACCACTCTCGGCACTGGTCCTGAAGGGATCATCCGCCCTATATTCCCTGTATTTCCAGTTCCTATCTGTACCAGTGTACATCCTCTGGTCTAGCCAGATTTGTAAGGTAGAATTGGGATCATGATAGTTGGGGGTGGGAGGGAAGGAAGCATTTAGGAACTAGAGGAAAGTTGTATGTTTCATTGTTGCTACACTGCACCCTGACTGGCTCATCTCCCCACAACCCTTCCTTAAAGAGATGTCCAGATGTCCAGTTGCCTACAGATGGGCTTTGGGTCTCCACTCCGCACTCCCCATCATTCACAATGATATGGTTTTTTGTTCTTTGATGCCTGATACCTGATCCCTTGGACACCTCATGATCACACAGGCTGGTGTGCTTCTTCCATGTGGCCTTTGTTGCTTCTGAGCTAGATGGCTACTTGTTTACCTTCAAGCCTTTAAGACCCCAGATACAACATCTTTTGATAGCTGGGCACCATCAGCTTTCTTCACCACATTTGCTTATGCATACATTTGTCTTATAGAATTTCTGTGTTAAGATGCCTTTTGATTCATTTAAAGGAGGTAATGTATCAATATGATCCTTTAGAATCTGTATCTTTTTCTGTGATCTTAAGACACTCCTCCTTTACTGATCATCTCTATCATAATGATCACCTGTGATATTTTCTTGCATATTGAATTCTTTCCTTGGGATTGTTTTTCATTTGCAGTGAGGTAGCCTTAATTCCATTCCTTTCCAAAAAGCTTGTAATTACCACTGCTCTCTACAGCCCCCTGCCATCTCCTCCTCCCCCTCCCCTCTCCCCTCTATCTACTAAGTAATTGGTCCTTTCCACCCAGCAAAGCCACAGTTCCAAGAGTCAGGTTTCCACAATGGTGTGGAAATGCTTTGGGGCAACTGGTTTTTGTTGTTTTTCTATCGGTTGGGCTTATTTTTCTATAATTCCTATTTATGGTATGTGTACTATGTCTTCTTTTTCTATAAGAACACAAAAAACAATGCTCTCAAGAAAAAAATCTGAAACCCATTCTCTCAGACTAATAACGGTGTTAAAAGGAGCTCTGGTGGTGTGGTGGATTAAGCACTAGACTGCTAACCACAAGGTTGGTGGTTCAAGCCTACCAGCTGCTGGTTAGAGAAAGATGAGGCTGTCTGTTTCCATGGACTTACAACCTTGGCAACCGTATGGGGCAGTTAGTTCTACTCTGGCTGTGAGTCAGAATTGACTAGCTGGCTGAGAGTAATGGGGTCACAGTAGTATCAATTCCAGGGCTCTCTGGGATTGGACAGGGTTCACCCTTAAAGGAAAAGGAGGATGTTTGGGATGAATGACTGACTTCTACCTTAGTGAAGACAGAATGCTAGGGGTCATGTTTTGTTTTTATGTCAGAAGACCCGAGTTTAAATGTTGGTTCTGCCACACAGGATTTAAGTCTCAGTTTCCTCCTTAATAAAATTTGGCTCCCCAGAACAAAAATTCATATCAATGCGAATGAAGCAGAGTGTAGAGTGGAGACTCAAAGCCCATCTGTAGAAAATTGGACATACCCTTACAGAAGGGTCACAAGGAAGGGATGAGCCAGCCAGGGTGCAGTACAACACAGAAGAAACATACAACTTGCCTCTAGTTCAGTGGTTCTCAACCTGTGGGTCGTGACCTCTTCGGGGGTCGAACAACCGTTTCACGGTGGTCACTCGATTCGTAGCAGTAGCAAAATTACAGTGATGAAGTAGCAATGAAAATAATTTTATGGTTGAAGTGTCACCACAACATGAGGAATTGTATTAAAGGGTCGTGGCATTAAGAAGGTTGAGAACCACTGCTCTAGTTATTTAATGCTTCTTCCCCACACCCACTATCATGACCCCAATTCTACCTTACAAATCTGGTTAGATCAGAGGATGTACACGGGTACAAACAAGAGCTGGAAGCACAGGAAATCCAAGACAGATAAACCCTTCAGGACCAACGGGAGGGTAAGGGGAAGGTGGGGGGAAAAGGGGAACTGATCACAATGATCTACATATAACCCCCTCCCTGGGGGACGGACAACAGAAAAGTGGGTGAAGAGAGACATCGGTCAGTTTAAGACATGAAAAAAATAATAACAATTTATAAATTATCAAGGGTTCATGAGGGAGGGAGGTGGGGGGGAATGAGGAGCTGATACCAAGGGCTCAAGTAGAAAGAAAATGCTTTGAAAATGATGATGGTAACAAATGTACACATGTGCTTGATACATGGATGAATAGATGTGTTGTGATAAGAGCTATATAAGCCCCCAATAAAATGATTTTTAAAAATAAAGTAAAAGTCGGCTCTTGGTGCCTATTTCAAAAACGTCTAATGAGTTGGTGTTGGCAAAGGATTGGTCAATTATAAAATCAAGTCCGCTACCAATGAGTCAATCCCGACTCACAGACAGAGCTGAATTGTCTCACAGGGTTTCCAAGGCTGTCAATCTGAACCAGAACCAACAATCTCATCTTTCTCCCATGCAGTGACTGGTGGGTTTGAACTTCTGACTTTTTGGTTACCAGTTAAGCACTTAACCACTGTGCCACCAGGGCCCTGATAAGCAATTGGGTTCCTGCTCAATGTTTGCTGTGTGGGGTAAGTCTATCTGTGTGAATGTCACCCTAAATGATTACTCCCCATAATTTCTCCAAAGGGAGAAAAGAAGAGAGATTTAAGATTTATAATGCGGCTATTCTAAATAACTTTACTCCAGACCTAAATTACAACATACAAATTACAGTTTGGAATAAGTCTGTTGGAAACATTCCCCAACATTTTGAGCCAAAAAGTTGTCCCGGCCCTGGAATTTCCCCTTTTCCATATCCACACCCAGACAGGGACTGACTCAGTCTTAAGGGAGAAGTAGCATGAATTCAACAACATTATAGTTGCTACCTTCTCATAGAGCTACACGGTGGTAGACCACTTCAGATGGTGAAAGCCCGGAACTGGGACCGGGGGACCAGGAAGAGAGATGTCTTCAAGGACCACCTCGGAAGTTGTCCGAGATGTCATAAAGGGAGCCCAAAGTTAGGGGAGAGTTGGACTGGATAAAGGCTAAAGCAGTGGTTCTCAACCCTCCTAATGCTGCGACCCTTTCATACAGTTCCTTATGTGGTGGTGACCCCCCCAACCATAAAATTATTTTCATTGCTACTTCATCACTGTCATTTTGCTACTGTTATGAATTGGGCAACCCCTGTGAAAGGGTCATTCAACTCTCAAAGGGGTCGTGACCCACAGGTTGAGAACCTCTGGAAAGCTCCCTGAAAGAGCGCCCCGCCTTCCCGGAAGTGTGCAATCTCGTTAGGGGGAAGTCCGAGTGTCCTAGGGTTGCCTCAGCAAAATACCACAGCTGGGTGGCTTCTAAGAATAGAAAGGCATTGTCCCACAAGGCTGGAGGCTAGCAGGCCAGTTCCGGGCGGGGCCACTTTGATTCTCTCCGCAGTGGGAGAGGAGCCTGGCAGCCCGCCCATCTTGCCTGGATTCTGCTGGCTCCCGACCGTTCTCGGCGTTCCTTGGTTTGCAGCTCCAGCATCACACAGTCATTCTGCTTTTCTGCTCCTGGCTCAGACTCCATTTGGTAGGGATTAGGATCCACCCCACTCCACTCTAGAAGACCCCCTTTCCAAACAAGGTCACATCCAGGGGCACCAGGAGTTGAGACTTCAACATCTCTTTTGTGGGTACCCCATTCAATCCATAACAGGAAATAAAAACATGGACCTGTGACACGGTTTAGAAAAGAAATCTGATGTATTTATGGATTGTGATAAGCACTGTAAGAGCCCCCAATAAAATGATTAAAAAAGAAAAAAGAAAAGAAATCCGAAGTGAGTGGCAATGAAGACATTGCAGCAAGACCTCAAAGAGCAATGGGAGCTGGAGGGGGCCCGATTCCCAGCGTGGATCTGGAGGGGGAGCTGGACAGAGGGGTAGAACTACCAAGCGGCGAGGGAAGAGACGATGCACCGTGGAAGGGCAGCCGCCCCCAAAGCTAGGGATTCACATCAGCCTGTGCATGTGGCAGACACAAGGCTGAATCAGAATATCGGACTTCCAGGAGTTCTGTCACATCATCTTGGCCATGCTGGCCAAATGATTTCCTCTTTGAGCCGAAACAGGTTGGTCTGGGGCAGCGGGGCTAGTGTACTTGTCTCTGCTCCAGGATGTCCTTCTGGAAGAAGGTGGGTGTCTGACGGCAGGATGGGCCGTTGGCATCAAGGCAAAGGTGGGCTTCTGGTCTCCTTTCCCCCTTTTGCCCCTCCCTCCCTTTGGGCCTTTTCCAACCAGGCCTACACACAAGCCATATCCGTTCGACCTCCCTAGACAGTTTTGTTTTTCCTAAGTGGTCTGACTGATAGAGTACCCAATCACTTGATCATTTAAACATAGTTTGTATAGGTCTCCCGGAGCTTTTTCCTCGCTGTGTGCGGCAGGCCTGTGATTCTGCAGATGCACAGCCAGAGCCCCAGGGACCTGCAGCCCCATGTTCGGGGAGCCTGGCCCAGAACCACTCCCTTTCGATCCTAAGTCAGGCCAAGTGCCTTGGGACGGCCAGAACATGGAATTCGGACTGTGGGCTTCATTGGTGGGACTGCCCACGACATGGCTTCCAGAACACGAAGACCCTAAGGATCCAGTTACCCGCGGAATGACGCCTGCCTGCAGAAAGCCCACCCCTGAGCCGGTGAAACCGGGACTCCAGGCTCTGGACAGGTAACACCAGAGACGCGACCACAGGGATTCTTCCAGACGCCGTCCCAGTGCCCCCCACATGGAACACAGCCAGCGTTGGCTTTTGGGATCCCAAGCGTGGATTCCGGAGTCCTCAAGCCCAAAAGACCTCACAGCTCTTCAATGCCAAGGAGCCCCGTGACCTCCGCTGAGACCCTCCCCGGGAGCCTCTCTGAACAAGGACTGGACGCTCAGCTCCCCGTGGCCCATGCGGTGCCTCTGCGGCGCCCTTTCCTGTGGGAACGAGGTGTGCCCGTCTGCGCTCACAAAAACCTCTAGGGGCGTGCTGTGCTGAGCTAGAGGGCTGATACGAGATAGAATGGACGCATGTCAACTGTATTTTGCCTTTCTGCAACCTTGGATTTTGTCAATAAAATGATCTGCAAAAAAAGTTTGTATAGTGACAGAGGGAGTTACAAGGTGCCAGGAAGAGGCATGATTGTGCATAGAAGTTGCAGTGAGAGTCATCTGGTGGGGAAGGAGGTTAAACTGAGCTGGGGAGGTTCATTTTACTGTGTAAGCTGTCAGATACTCTGTTAGGCCCTGGAACTTGCAGGAGAGTCCATCCGCTCCAGACACAGACAAAAACAAGTCAAAAGTAAATAGGATGCAAGTAGGAATATTTAAAAGGGAAAAAAGGGCGGGGCAGGGTACCGATAACAGGAATCATGGTAATACTAAATGGTCAGAAAGGGCCTGAGGAAGTGATGTTTGAGCAGAGTCCTGCCTAATCTGCAGGCACCTTCCATGTGCACATCTCCAGGAAGAGTATGTATACAGGGAGCTGCAAGAGGAAAGGTGGTAAGGTGGGAATATACATCGGGTATAGAGGTAACCTTGTGCAGAATGGAGGCTCCAGGCTCAGACCAGCTGTCACTAAAGGCAGGGTGCGTCCTCGGTGTTCAACTGCCAATCAGGACAAAGAGATCTGAGGGCAGCTGTAGCAGCCACACTGCCCCTGAAGGGAACAAGGACACCTCGCTAGTTAGTCGGTGGGAGCTTAAAACAAAACAAAACAAAACATTGCTATTGAGTGGCCTCTGACTTACAGCAACCCTACAGGACAATAAAACTGCCACATGGGCATTTCTACGCCCACCATGGCCCCTTCTGTGAGCCTAGGAAGACAATTTAGGAAGACAAATGCTACTTTCATTACAGACACGGTTGGAACATGTAGAGCTCCCAAGCACTCATGTACATTCTTCCTTCTCTGAGGTATGCAAGGGTGGTTTCTCTCCTTGCATGGCAGATGGGGTTCCCTCAAAATTCACTGCCATGACTCTGAGGACTCGTTCAAAACTCAGTGCTGACTCATCTCGGCCCCCTGTGGGTTTCTGAAATGGAAACTGTTGATGGGAGTACAATGCCCAGGCTTTCCCCAGGAGCTTCCAACCGCTGACCTTGAGGACCATAGCCAAAGACATGCTCACTGCACCCCCAGGGCTCCACACAGACGAGGACCCTGGGGTGAAGGGATTTACCCACGAGGCATAGTAAGACAAGGCCAAGACTCCATTTGACTGAACTTCCCTCTCTTAGGTCTGTTCCTTAAATATACCACATGCACCCCAAAATGGTAGGGTCAGCTCTAAAAATCGGATGGGCAGAGGAAAGATTGCTTCTTCCTTCCCCTCCCAAACACTCAATTCCTGGGACCTCAGCTCCTCTCCAAATTCATACTCAACTCTCTGTCACATTGTTACTAATATTAACTGAAGGTAAAGTTAAATATGCCATTTCTGCCAAAGACATTCTTTTTGAATGGGGGACAGATATTTAGGTCAACAAAACAACTAGAGGTGGATGTCTCTGAAGCAGCACGGTGTCTATCATAAAATAGAACTCCAGGGAGGCCTTCTGGCACGATGGCCAACTAGGCAGGCATGCTACCCTCACCCTCTACAACAAGACCAAATGAATCGGTTAAGGATGATGAACCGGGAACTGTGAGCTTCAGAGGGAAAATGGAGATGCAGATTACACATCAACTAGGAGAAGAAACTGAAAAAAAGTGGCCAGAAAGGAGCCCGATGGGTGAATTGCTCGTTAGTGTGAAGAGTGAGTGCTGCCATCTTGCACTTTTGCAAGCGGGCTTTGAAACAGCGGCCTGACTTTCAAAGCACACATGGGCAGTGAGAAAGGCGGGTCCTCCCTTGCATCCCCTTCTGGTAACCAGCAGTGTAACCAGTCCCCATGCTCCCCCACCCACCCCGCAGCTGATGACACCCCCATCCCTGCACACCCCATGCTTTGACTGAGGTTGGAACCACACCCTTGTGGAACAGGCATGGGGCGTTCCACTCCCACATCTGGAGATACATGAACGCTGCCTCATTAGACCAGCAGAATATACAGGGTCAGGTTGCTTGCCATCCCTGGACAGGCAAGAACTTCTGCCCTAACTATATCCTGCTCCCAAGCTGCACTCTGGGCCCATGAGGATTCCTTCTGGGGAAAAAGACCCTGATCTCAACTCCTATAGGAGGAGGCACCAACTACTTCTATGGTCCCAGACACATATAAGCTGGGGGGAAATCCACCTGGGACTGGGGGTTCCACCCACACCCACACCTGGGAGCTCCTTGGCTGGCAGGGGGTGGAAACTCATACCAGGTGCCCTTTCTCCCCCTTGATGTCCCTTATCTTCTATATCCTATATCCTTTCCTGCCTCTCTTCTCCCCTGTCTTTTTCCTTCTTTAATTTTCCCTTCATTTATCTCTTTCCTAATCTCTCCTCGATGCCTCCTCTCCTCCCACTCTGTAGTTTTACTTATGGTGCTTTTTCTTTCTTTTTTCTCTTCTCTCATTTTTCTTTTCTTTCTTTTTAGTTATAAAATTATTTTTTCTTGCTGTCATTTGTCTGCTTTTCCATGCCCCCCTCCACTTATTATTTTCTCATTCCCCCCTTTTTCTTGTCAAGCATACATACAGGAAACAACAACCATGCCCACACAGCCTCGCCACACCCATACCACCTGGAACCTCACCTCCTGGGCAAGGGTCTCTACATTCTCCTGCCACCTCATGCCAGCCCAAACCATGCTCCCTGTGCTGCAGGAAGAGCCAACAGAAAACTGTGCACACGCTCACATTCTCTGTCACACTCACTTAGGTGAGTGCCCGAGAACATACTAATGCACAGCCATCCATTAACTACAAACACCCCCCCACAGCGTCTCAGAGACGGTCGACCATTTCAGTTCATGTGGAAGAACAACGTGGAGTGGCTCAAATAAGTGACAAAATCCTGGAGCCAGAGACATTTCTCAGGAAGAAAAGGCATTGAGCCACCTGATCAGGGATTCGAAAGACTAGTATTTAGATCCCTTTAACAGTTTGAGAGGGAAAACAGGGATGGAAACAAGGAAAACACAGGGGGGGGATATAGATTTCAGGAAAACACTCCAAGAACAAACAAAATAAAATTTAAACTATATGAAAACAGCAAATATCATTCCAGAAGATTTATACTAAGATTTCAGAAAGAAATAACACATGGAAAAGGCAAAGGAGTAGAAACAAATCAGTCAAAGGGACTCCACCTCTTTCAACACTAATCTACTAGAGAAAAATCAGAGAAAATAATTTTAATAATTGAAGAAAGTATAAGAATTATGTGGGCCACAATCAAAAGGAATACCTTACACGTAATCAGAATTTTAGAGCAGAAAGTGACAAAAAAGAACAGAGAAGAGTTGTTGGAAGAAAACTCCCCTAACACCGTGGAAGATGGGAAAACATGCACTCTGGAAGTTGTAAGTATGTCAAACAAGAATGAGCGACCCCAAAAATGTCACAAACTTTCCAAAACTGAAGACAAGAATCTTCAGAGTAGCTCAGGAAAAACAGTTAAACCTGCAAAGAAGAACCAACATGGCTAAGATCTTATTTCTCAGTAGAAGCCATACAGGCAAGAAAGAAAGGGGAAAAACTGCTAACTACGAATCATACCCATAAAATAGTCCTCCAATATGATGAGTACGATGGCAACACTAGGATGTTTCCAGATGAACAGAAAATAAAGGATTTGCAAAAAAACAGACCAACCTTACGAGAAATACTAAAGGGAGTTCTTCAGACATAGAATCAACAACAGCAAACAACAACCTAAGGTTAACATGCACGACAAAGTCACTCAGCAGTCAGCCTAGACATAGCAGTATCTGAGGCGCAACAAGCCTCCCACTCAAAGACCCCTCACAGCAACCTTCTAGATTAGGGTGGACGCCCTGTTGGAGTCCAACTCATGGTGACCCTACAGAACAGGGCAGAATGTCCCTGCTGGCTTCTGAAACTGTAACTCTTTTAAAAAAATCATTTTATCAGGGGCTCATACAACTCTCATTCATCACAATCCATACATACATCAATTGTGTAAAGCACATTTGTACATTCGTTACCCTCATCATTCTCAAAACATTTGCTCTCCACTTAAGCCCCTGGCATCAGCTCCTCATTTCCCCCCTCCCTTCCCGCTCCCCCCAAAACCGTAACTCTTTACAGGAATAGAAAGCCTCCTCTTTCTCCTTCCAAGCAGCTAGGAGTTTCCAACTGCTGACCTTGCAGTTAGCAGCCCAACTTGTGACCGCTATGCCAGCAGGGCTCCAAGACAAACAAACTTACTGAAAACATGGAACCAGAGATATCAATCTGTAATAAAGACAAGTACAAAGCAAAAAGATAAAAAGATGGAGTAGTATAGTTATAGAACTTCCAAATGAAGAGGAAGTCAAGTAGACTTCAGGAACTTGAGTGGAGGAGAGGGTGGTCTCCAATGAGAGGCAGTTTGGCAAAGAATGATGGAGGCAAGGGAGGACACTGGGAAAAGTGCACTAAAGGCAAAGCAGTAAATTCTATGATACACACAATCCTGATTAATGAAGATCTACAAGTAAGTGTGTGTATAGACACGTGGCCTGAGAGGGTGTGGGAATGAAAGTGGGAGGATACCAATATAGACATACAGGTTTGACAGAGAT